GTGGCCGGCAGAGCGGGTGGAAGGGTGGCAGCACGAGCCAAGGCGGGAGCTGAGCATGGTGCAGACAGGATGGGGGAACAGAGGGTGGCAAGGGCACAAAAGCCAAGTCACCACAGACCCAGGCCTGGACCCCCAGGCGACGGGACAGCATCAAGTGCACGGAGATGTGGGAGGCCCGGCCGTGGCAGCAGGAGCCCGCCTGTCACAGGCAGCTGGGTACACATGGGACACTGCTCCCGGTACAGCAGACTTAGGACAGACACTGCTGCCCTCGAGAACTCCAGCCCCCTGAGATCGGGGGGAGGAAGCCTCAATGCACATGGGATGCAGCCACCCCAAATGGCCAAAGCTGCTGGCCAAGGATGAAAGACATTGCTGGAAATGTCCTATGCCTGCTCTGCGGGGGACGAGCCAGGCTGGGCGGCTTGTCCATCCTGCCTCACAGCTGTCTCCGTCTCCCTCGCAGGCCAGGCTCTCATGTCAAAAGACCCTGCAGATTCTCCACTACGTTCTTCTCCCTCCTCAACTGCCCAAGGGAAAGTCTTGCCCCCACATCCCCAGTACAGGGCCAGGCTGGCCACCCATCCTTGCAAAGCTGCCTGGACCACGCAGAAAATGCCACATATTCCCCTTCCTTATCCAAAAGGAGCTGACTGTCCCATCAGCATGGCCCCGAATGGTCAGTCACGCCTCCGTCCCATCCCACGGACTGCAGAAAGCCCTGGACAAAAGCCTCCCACGCCCCAGGCAGGTCCTGCCCACTCCTGCGCCGTCTCCCAGTTCAGCCAGCGCTCTGGGTACAGCTGCTGAGGTCTGTGAGCTGCTGGCTCCCTCACGGCTCCTCACTCCCTGGGTTGGGCAGGGTCGGCCGTGCCCTGCACCAGAACATGTGTAGGCGGCAAAAGCCGATCGATCACCAGAGCAGAATGCCAAATGCTGTTTCCTGTAGGACTCTCTCCCAAGTGGTAACCAACTCAGGTCAAATAGCTGTTAATGAATTAGCTGCTTGGGTAGAACAGAAAATGTTTACCATTTGAAAAATGTAAATGTCCCCAAATCACAATGGTAATATACACAGAAACCCTGGAAGGGGCGGTGGCAACTGGGGTGGGGGGGCAGCAGTCATGGCTCACGTGACTGGGCTCCTACCACCCACCTGTGAGACCTGGGTTGGCCCCTGGCCACTGCAGGCATTTGAGGAGTGCAGCAGGGAGAGGGAGCGTGCACCCACATTCTGCTCTCTCTCTACAGTTATCTGCCTTTAAAACAATGTGCAGCAGGGAGTACAATGCAGTGTTCTTTCCTTTCTGTCTGTCAAGCACAGCAACTTCACTTCTAAGGTTTTTTTCTTTGACAAGAAACATCACTCAAAACGATGATTATGCTGGTCTAATAGCTCGGTTTCCGTATGCAATCTGTGTGGTAAAAAATAAACACATGAAGTGAATGCGCAGGAGATGTTTAAAGTGAACTTTGGGTGTAATTTGACATGGTGCAGTGATGTGAGTGCTAAACGTAAATTCAAGTACCCTTGACTTCTTAAAGTCTGTAGAAGAGACTACACACACGCAGACACACATGCACACACACACGCGCGCAAACACACACGCACACACGTGCACACATGCGCACGGACACATGCACAGATACATGCACACATGCACACATGCACACACACACGCACACACAGACACACACAGACACGCACACACATGCACACACATACACACCTGAGTCTGCAGGCAAATGCCTGCTTTTCCATACTGAAAAAACCGCTGGATGAGGAAACACACCTTTCTGGACATAAACACATCTTTCCTGGCAAAGCAGAAAAGGAAAGCACAGCACACACGCTGCGAGTTTGCAGCTCTGCTAGCTGTTTTCCACTTTCATTGCCTACCTGTATCCTGGCCTGGATCCTGATTTCTGCTAGTTTTCTCCAACCTGGCTGCGACTCTTTGCCCAAGGACAGGACTCATTCCAACAGCCCTGTGAGCTGAAGCTGGACAACCCCAGGCAAGCCTTGTCCACACGGTAAGCTGGCCAAACCGCACCACACAATCGCAGGGACATTCGATCTGCCAAGCACCGTGTAGGGTTCGACCTTCCCCTGCAGCGCACAGCTTCTTGTTGTCCCAACAAGACTCCGAATCACCAGGCTCTTAATCCACTAACCGCTCCTTGTTTACCAATCCTTTCTCATGGGACAGGACATTACGATTTCACAGGTTGATAGACACTGACCATGAATTGACTGTGACTTGTCAGGACCGGATCCGGGACACCTTTGGGCAGCATCCTCCATGCAACTTTGTGCAGATGACCCTAGTGGAGCTTTCTTGCCACACTCATGATTCAGCCCAGCCCTGGGATATTAAATAGTAAAGCTGCTCTCGATTACTCACTGGCTGAATAAGGAAACGTGCAGGTGCTAATTCTGCATGCTGGACCCTGATAAACCCATCTGGGGACAGGAGACTCCACTGTACAACACGAGGCCGGACTCAGTGGTCCCCACAGGCTCTTCACTTCTCCAGCCGGTTATCGCGATGCCCAGAGCTACGACACAAGCTGCATTTGTTTTGCTTGTGTTGGTTTTGTTTCACACTACGTCCTTCCTGAACGTCTGCACCCCTTGCCTGTCAAGTTTCTGCAGAAGTAACACAGGCCCAGCACCTTCAGATGATGGCCAAGGCTTATGAAACAGAGAACTGAATGATGGACTCCGGGAGACAGGCAGTCCCGGCCCAGCTCTCCCTGTGGCTACAGCCTGGCACTGACTCCTCACTGTCAATCACCTCCCCCGTGCCCCACAGGGTCAGACCAGTCCAGCAACCCGCACAGCTCCATCCTGGCACTGGGAGACCACCAGCGATGCTGTCAAAGATCTTGATCAAAATGTGCAAGCTGGCAGAATCAAGACAGAATCACTTTCGGCAAATCCTATCCACCCTCTAAACAAACAAGTAAATGAGAGGCTGTGCAGGCGGGGATCTCACATGTGTGGTTGGTAACAAAGAACCATTTTTGAAAGACTGGTGGTACCTCAACCTTGCACCACAGCCACCGTGACCTCACCCAAAAAATACTTCTGCAAGGACACCCGCCTGGCAACCAAGTGTTGGGCCGATGCCACCCTTGTGATGGCGCCCTTACAATCAAAGATTATAGTTACAAAATGTCTTATGTAATCTCCTCTTGCCCTTTGAAAACCTCGCCTTGCCAACCCCCTTGAGCATGAACCTGGTTTTACGACGGTGGGGCTTCCCACTGCAATCCTCTGCTGTTGCCAAATAATCCCAGGAGAATCTCTGTGATTTAGCTTGCCTTGTCCGGCAGCCTGACTCCAAAGCTTGCTTCTAGCCATCAGAGAAGCGCACACAGGGTCTGGGGAACTCTAGACAGGAGACTACAACTGACACTCAAGTTACAGTCATGCCCGACCCCCTTACAAAAACACAAGTGGCCTGACAGTCAAGACTGGGTACACAGTACTCCCCAAGTCTTTGTTGAAAGTTGCCTCCACCCCTGCTTTAAGTATCTTCGTCCAAACAGCCTGGGGACGGGGCAGGTGCGGTGGCACAGCTGCCTGCGACACCAGCATCGCACGTGGGCCCTGGTTTGAGTCCTGGATGCCCCACTTGTGATCCAGTGCCCTGCTAGCGCACCTGGGAAAGCAACGGAGGATGGCCCAAGGACATGGGCCTCTGCCGCCCACGTGGGAGATCTGGTGAAACCGCTGGCTTCACTTGGCACAGCCGTTGTGGCCGACTGGGGGAGTGCACCAGTGGATGGAAGATCTCTCTCCTTCTCTCTGCAACTCTGCCTTTCAAGTAAGCAAATCTTTGAGATAGAGAGGAAACCAGAGGGAGGACTCGATCCTCATTGGGTCTGGCTTCACATACTGGTACCCAGGTTCCAGTACTGGGCCCCCTCCAGGCGCCAACACGGGTTCAGGGCGCTAAGAGCCTGTGTTTCCTCACTGGAATGTGAGGCACCAAGCGAAGGCAGCAGCCTCTGAACTGTACACGCACAGAATTCTTCGGCTCTCTGGGTCACCAGGGTTCATGGCCAGTGAGCTCAGCTTCCTCTGATGCACACCCATTAGCTGAGCGGCTTTTCTGTGTATCAAGTGAACCATCTCAACGCTGACTTTAAATTTTGCGTCAACCATTCATTCGCCTTGGCTGTGCAAAAGCCAACAGGACTGAAGATTTCCGGGGCGGATGCTTAAAAGAAATCTTCGCAGAAAGTCAGCGATGCAGAAGTCACTTTCAGGCCTCTGTGTTCAGGGTCCTCGCCTGGGAGGCCGCCCCCCACCCCCAGGGCCTTGGGGGCTCCTGGGAGCAACCGAGCGATGCCTAGGGGCTCAGGTCCCCATGTGCAGCCAGGCCCTGCCCTGCCCCCTGCCCAGGGAACCCAAGGAGGACGCAGCAGAAAAGCCAAGCCCCCAGGGGGAAGGGGGGGCTCCCCTTCTGCTAAGTTACTTCAACAAGTTACCTTGTCTGGTTATCACAAGAAGCAAAAGGAAACCACCGACCTAAAGTACCAGCAACTCCCTACATACAGCAGCCGAGATGAAGAGCTAAAACTGGAGCAGAAAAGTTTGGAAGCTCCTGGCTCCTGGCTCCGGCTCGGCACAGCCCTTGTGGCCATTCGGGAGTGAGCCGGTGGATGGAAGATCTCTCTTTCTTTCTCTGTCTCTCTCTCTCTCTCCATCTCTGTAACTCTGCCTTTCAAGTAAACAAACACGGCTGGGCTCACTGGAGGCCACGGTCAGGAGATGCAGTCCTGATACCGAGGAACAAACCCCAGGCTCCCTGTGCCAGGAACAAGGTCTCGAGCCCAGGTCCACCACCCGCAGGACCCCTCCGGGCTGCCCCGTCCAGATTGACCCTACTCGCTTCCGTTAACTCAGCGAGGGGAGCCGGGGCGCGGGGCTGGGCGACTCCTACTGGTGTCTACACAAACCCGCCAGGGGCCCCCGGGCCCGGCCCTACCGTTGCATGTAGTGGACCAGGAACATGGCCAGCAGGATGCGGCTGGGCCAGTGGTGCAGGCGCTCCGCGGCCGCGCGGCCGCACTCGTACAGCGGCCAGGCCAGCGAGGGCAGCTCCTGCACGACCCAGGCGACCCGCGCCGACACCCGCAGGCCGGGCCACTGCGGCGCATAGCGACCGTAGGGCGAGCCCAACAGCTTGAGCAGCACGAAGCACAGCGGGCCCAGGAAGCACTCCAGGTAGGCGAGCGCGTCCAGCACGCGCGGCTCCGCCTGCTCCATGGCCGGGGGACGGCGAGGCGCTCCATGCCCGGCCGGCCGCGGAAGGTCACATATAGGGAGGCGGCCAAGGGGCGGGAAGCCCGATTGCCCCGGGACCGCGCGGCCGCCTACAACCCCGCGGCCAGAGCCATGCGGGTCACCTGCGCGGGGTGGGGCCGCCGGCTAGCCCCGCCCACCTGGCCGAGGCCCCGCCCCCGCCCGGGCGGCCGCTCTGCGCACGCGCTGGGGTCGGGCGGTCCGCGGAGCTGCCTGAGCCCGCGTGCCCGACCCCGACCCAGCGGCCGGGGACGCCCTCGGAGCTGCTCTCCCCGGGGCGGCCCGCGGCTGTATGCCGCCCGTGGTTTTCCCAGAGGACGGACGTGGCGCTTCGGCTTCGTTCTCGACAGCCCCTGCGGCTCCCGGAAGGGGCCAGGCCCCCAGGCGCGGGGGCCTCGGCGGCGGCCGGAAGTCGCGGTGGCAGCGGTGGCGGGCCGCTTTCTGCGCGCGGCGTGCGCGGCCGCGTGGGCCATGGGGCGGCGGGCGCGGGGCCGGCGGCTCGCGCAGCCGTCGCGGGCCGAGGCCGGGGCGGACGGCGCCGAGGGCGGCGGGCCGCGCGGCGATGCGGTAGGCGCCGGGCTGGCGGGCGGGCGGGCGGGCGCGGGGCCTGCGGGGCCGGCCTGGGAGCCGGGGGTCTGACGCCCCTGCCCCTCCTCAGGGCTGGGAAGGCGGCTACCCCGAGATCGTCAAGGAGAACAAGCTGTTCGAGCACTACTACCAGGAGCTCCGCATCGTGCCCGAGGGCGAGTGGGAGCAGTTCATGGGCGCGCTCAGGCAGCCGCTGCCCGCCACGCTGAGGATCACCGGCTACAAGAGGTGCGGGGGTCCGCCCCGGGGAGTGGGGTCCGCCCCGGGGAGTGGGGTCCGCGGTGGCTCCTGGGCGGCCGGGGGCCGGGCGGCCCGAGCCGCGGGGTAACGTGTCGCGTCTCCGCTCCTCCGCCCCGCGCGTTTGCAGGGGGAGTCGCGAGCGCGGGTGGTGTTGGGCGGGAGGGAAGGCGGTGTGGCCCGCAGCGTGTCACCCTCCAGCGACCCAGCCGGGGGGCGGGGGCCATCGGGTGTCAGCAAGCATGTTTTGTATGTAGCGAAATAGTCGTAGATTCAGGGTGACTTCTCGGCCATGAGAGCCGGTATTGCAGGTTGAGGGCTTAAATCGCAAAGAATGTGCACGCGCGTGTTCAGGTAGAGTTTCTCCAAATCGCGAAAGAGCAACTGCATTAATGAAGAACAACAATTCAAGGAGCTGGAGGCGCTGGAGGTGGACGGCCAGAAGGTGGAAGTTCCGCAGCCCCTGAGCTGGTAGGCGGGGGCTGGGTGTGGGGGCTCTGGTCGTGGTGTGGCCGGCAGGGGCAGGATGGGCGCTTCAGATACTCTGTTTCTCTGTTTTAACCCAGGGCTTGTCCTGACGCGTGGTTTGTAGCTCCCTGTACCCGAGTCACCGAGTTTAGTTAATTTTTTCCGTCCATCTAGTCTCTTGTCTAAGTTACAGTTTCATCTATCTGCAGGCCTTGTTTTCTCACATCAGAACTGTGTGTAGGGGGAGAGTCCGTTCTGTCTGGTGGTCAGCGTGCTAGCAATGACACCACGTCCAGCTGGCTCCAGCTACCTGCTAACGCACACCCCGGGCGGCCGGGTGACCGCTCAGGGGCTGGGTTCCTGCCACCTATGCGGGAGACCTGGTCTGAGTTTCCAAGCCCACAGCCATGGCCCTGGTCCTGCCCAGCCACGGTCCTTGAGGGCATTTGGGGAAGCTCTTTCTCTCTCCATGTCCATCTCTCAAAACCAGAAACCTGTCCCCCAGGAAAGGACAGCTCTGCGCTGGCAGTGTCACCGCAGCCACCTACTGTGTGTCCAGCACAGACTGCACGGCCGCCAGTCTCCCTGCTGTCTGCAGTAGCCAAGCTTGGCGCTCCCGGTGCTGTCGCGGCCCGTGGCTCACGTGGCCAGGCGAGACAGGCCCCGCAGGTTGTGAACTTGAAGAAGGAGTGAGTCGGTCACTTCCCGCCCACGGCAGTGACCCTTCCTCTGTGTCCAGCTCACTCCGGTGGGACGGGCTCAGGTGCACGCTGGAGGCGCCAGCTCGCTGGTGTAGGTCCTTCATTGAGCAGGAACTCTTGTTGCGTGGTTCCCAAAAGAGAAAGGCAGTTGTAAATAGTTGCTGTCAAAGCATGCATTGAGTAAGTTGTGGGGCCCTTTCAAGGTTTCAGATAGTCACGTGCCTGGTGTTACCTTTTTCACACACCTTCATGGGTGGTAAACCACTGGGTAGATTCACCGGCTTTTCTGTTGCTGGCCATGTAATTTTTCAGTGCCTTTGAGTGCATGGCTAAACACTAAAATCAACCTTCAGTCCAGGCCAAAAGCACATGTCGTAGATGCATTTGTGGGATAGAAGAAGAAATCTTCAGTTTTATGGGATAAAAAAGTTAAGTGGTGGTGCTTTAATTACACTTTGCAGTCAGATTTTAAACGCTTGAAGGACACAGCACAGGGAGATGACTCGGGGCTGGGCTGCTGTGGGGTGACCCATAGCAGTTTCACGGTGGGGAGGCCAGTGGGGAAGGGAAGCATTTTTTAGCTGCTGTGGTCATTTCAGTTTTTTAAAAAGAATTATCTAAGAGGCAGGGAACAAGAGCTCCATATCCTGGTTCACTCCCCAAGTGCCTGTGATGGCCGGGGCTGGCCGGGGCTGGCCGGGGCTGGAGTTGAAACCAGGACCCAGGGACACAGTCCAGGCCTGCCACATAGGTGTTGTAAATTCAGTCATTGAGCCAACGCTGCTGCCTCCCAGGGTCTGCACCAGCAGGAAGCTGCAGTCAGAGCCAGAGCTGGGACTAGGGCCCTGCTACTCTGGAGCTGGGCATGGTCACTGCTAGGGCAGCCGTCCTGCCTGTGGATGGCCTTCCTGAGATGCAGTGGGCTTTGTGGGACTGAGTTTTTGTCCTCCGTGGTAGCCAGGTGGTAGGGTACCTGCTCTCCAGTGCCTCAGAGATCTGATTGACAGCACTGACGCTGTGCGCTGTTGGAATCAGAGTGCTGTTCAGATGTCTCCATTTCTAGTGTGTTTTGTATGTAATCGCTGCTTCACACAATCACCTGAAAACAGTTGTTCCTGAAACCTTGTGGCGATGGGGTGTGGACCCAGGAGGACATCTCAGCCTGCATCTCCAGGGGACAGGCTTGCTCTCCAGGCATCATCATGGCTGTTTCCTTTATCCCTCCCTCCTTCCCTCCCTTCCTATTTATTTATTTGAAAGGCAGAGAGCGAGAGAGAGGTCTTCCATCTGCTGGTCCACTCCCCAAATGGCCACAGCAGTCAGAGCTGGACTGATTAGGAGCCAGAAGTTTCTTCCGGGTCTCCCACATGGGTGCAGGGGCCCAAGGACTTGGGCCATCTTCCACTGCTTTCCCAGGCCACAGCAGGGAGCTGGGTCGGATGTGGAGCAGACGGGACTCGGACCGGTGCCCTTAGGGGAGCCGGCAGTGCGAGTGGCGGCTTTCCCTGCTACGCCACAGTGCCGGCCCCATGGCTGTTTTCTTTTGCAGGAGCCAGCAAGCTAGGCAAAAACGCTAGTGTAAATAAGACTTCTATTTTTTTATTCTTCTTTGCAAACTAAGTTAACTTTTTCTTGAAAGAGTTACAAAGAGAGAGAGTTTCCACCTGCTGGTTCATTCTCCTGGATGACCACAATGGCTAGCACTGGGCTCCGCCGAAACCAAGGACAAGGAGCTTTGTCCAGGTCTTGCACTTGGGCCATCCCTGCTGGGTTCCCAGGTGCGTTAGCAGGGAGCTGGATCAGAAGTGAAGCAGCCGGGACTCAAACCGGCACCTGCGTGGGATGCCTGCACTGCAGATAGTGGCTTTACCCACTGTGCCATAGAACCAGCCCCGGATCTGCACTTTTTTTCATAATTTTTTCCTCTGTCCTGTCTTTTTTCCGATGACTTCCACACCAATCGACTTAACATCGTGAGGAGCAGAAAGGGCTTTGCTCTCTCCTCAGCCCTGGCATGTTCTGTTGTGATTTTATAGGAACGTTGCGCCTGTGTGTCCTGGGAGACCCCGGGGCTCTAATCTCAGTAGAACTGTGCTCTTTATGTCCGGGGACACCGTTCAGTGTTTATAACTGTGCCCGAGAGGATTGTGGCTATGAGCATTAGAGCGAAACCAGCTGTTTGATTTGACGCTTGACGCGTATGAGCGACTCGTGTCGACAGAGCGCTCGGTCTCTGTGAGTCTCTGTGACCCGTGAAGGTTTTGCTTTCTTTTCCGTCAGGTACCCTGAAGAACTTGCCTGGCATACAAATTTAAGTCGGAAAATCCTGAGAAAGTCCCCACAGTTGGAAAGATTTCATCAGTTTCTCGTCAGCGAAACTGAATCTGTAAGTAGATGTTTTAGACTTGCAGCTCTTTTAAGCATTAAGTGTAGAGATTTATCATAGTTACTGTTCTGATCGTGTGTCACCTCGAATGACAGGCAGAGAAGGCACACCAAGACTAAGTGTGTGTGCACTGTTACTTTGTGACTGTATCTGCTACGTGACCCTCACGCGGGTATCAGTCGGAGTTGTTTGATTTGTATTTCCTCTTCCCCGTGGATTTGGGTGTCCGGAGTTGAGGTGAGGGTGTGTGACGGGCAGGAGACTGCTGCTTGGTCGTCTGCACACGCTGGATGTCTGTGGTGTGTAGTGTGTTTAAGGCCATTATTTTTAACTGAATATAAATTTCCGAAGTACAGTTTATGGATTACAATAGCTTCCCCCATAACTTCCCTCCCACCCGCAACCCTCCCCTCTCCCAGTCCCTCTCCCCTTCCTTTCACATCAAGATTCATTTTCAATTATCTTTATATACAGAAGATCAATTTAGCATATATTATAAAGCCATGTTAACAGAGTACATGGGTTTTGTGTTTGTTTTCTGGGTTTTTTTTCTCTCTCTCTTTTTTTTTTTTTTTTTAGTAAAAATACATTTTATTAACAGTGAGACTTTGAAGTCCACCTGTATCCTGTCTTTGTTTCTCTGCATGTGCTCTACCTTTGTAGAAACACAGCACTCGGGGCCCTCGCGTCCTTGTAAGGTGACATCCGCCTCCCGCCCCTGAGAGCGGTCAGGGCGCACTCGGGGCCCTCGCGTCCT